CACCTTCCCGTTGTGGGAGCTCGGCTTGGCAGGTTTCCCGTTCCTGATGTTTGCGAGCATTGTTTGCGATCGATCGCCAGGCCCACGGAACGGGTGAATACCCGTGACCATGTGATACATCGTGACCCCGAGCGAGTACATATCCAGCCTGAAGTCGAGCGAGGTCCGCCGCCTCGAATAGTCGAATTGTTCGATCGGCGAATAGGCCATCGTCCCTACGAAGAGCCCCTGGCTGAGCGACTCTCCATGGAGATCAAAGGCAAAGCCCGCGTCGAGCAAGACGAACGACCCGTCACGATCGCGTCGCATGATGTTCTGCGGCTTAATGTCTCGATGTATCTTGTCGAGTGACCACAGAGATCGAATCGCGTCGGAGATCTCCAATCCGAGCCGCACGGTCTCTTCGGGCTCGAATACGCCATCCTTCAGACATGCCGCCAGATCCTTGCCGACAATGTACTCTTCGGCAAAGTAGATCAGACGCTCGTCACCGTGTTGCGTGATCGTGAGATCGATCGGTCCTAGTCGGACCATGTGATCCGAGTCGCACTTGCGCATGATCTCGATCTCACGCTGAAGCCGAGCCTCTGCCTCAACGCCCGGGTCCTCGTCGTCTTCCTCGTTCCTTGGCAACGAACAGAACTTCACCGCGTATGTCGTGCCATTGAGATCGGCCTTAAAGACCTGTTTCTGGCCGCCCTGGCCGACATGCTCGACGTGGGAGGCCTCTGGAATCAGACCCTGCACGTCTTCCACAGAGAGGTTTGGTGGCATGCGAGAATCGTAGCGTCGTTTCAATCGGCATGCGAATGCAGAACCTCAACACAAACGACACAGATCTGTGCAATCAGCCACCGCGCCACGCCTGGGCGCGTGTCGCGCCATGTACGAACGCGACGAGTAAAACAAGCCGGTCCCCGTCATCGACCTGGTAGAATACAAGATAATCGCCGGCGGTGATCTTGCGCGTCTCGACGCCGACGGCCTCGGTCTGGAACTCGTCCACCGGGTAGAGCCTGGGCATCTCGATCAGGTGGTCGATCGCCGCTCGGATCTGGCTGTACCAGCCGTCGACGGTGCTGACGGAGACGCCCTCGCCCAGGAGGTAGCCGATCTGCTCATCGAGTGACAGGGTGTACGAGTCGGCTGCTTCGACGCGGTAGCTCATCGGTCAGCGCGCAGGCCGTGCTTCTCGGCGATGGCGTCCATCGTCGCGTGGGCGTCACCGGTGCGCCCGGCCCTTGCGTCGGCCATACCGCGCAGGATCGCGGCGGTGATGTCCGCCTGGTGGGCCTTCTCAGCCAGCTCGTCGAAGACCTTGGGAGACATGACGACCCCCTTGGCCTCGCCGTTGACGGTCAGGATTTCCACCCCGCCGAGCTCTTCGAGCCGGCGGAGGTGACCGCTCGCGTCGGTGCGGAAGTCGCTGAGCTTGCGGATGCTGTCGGTGCGGATCATGGTGTGCCTCATACTGAATTTATACCAAATTTAGTATCGCACGGTTCGGCTTAGGAGTCAAGGAAATCCGTCATACGGCCCCAGTTGACCCCAAACCGGGCGTTATTGGCCCTCTTCACAACCCCTATCGGAACGGTGTACATTGGCCTATGGACCGTGAAAGTGAGCTCGAAACCTTCAAAGCCGACATCGACCTGCGTGTCGTCGCCGGCGAGCTCGGCTACGAGATCAACGCAAGGAAGACCAGCCGGGGCTGCGCAGTCATGGACCACCCCGGCGGCGACCGCGTCCTGATCGCCCTGGCGACCGACGGGCACCACGTGTACTGCTCGGTCAGCGACCCAGCAGACCACGGCAGCGTGATCGACTTCTGGCAGCGTCGCCGGGGCGGCAGCCTCGGCGAGGTCCGCAAGGCTCTGCGTCCCTTTCTGCATGGCGTGGCCCCCCCACCGCCGACGCGCAGGACGCAGAGCCGGATGCTGCCCGGTCTGGCCCCCCTGGTCCCGATCGAGCGTGACATCCTGGGCGTGCGCCGTGATTACGAGTGCTTCCGCCCGCTCGACTCCGGCCGGCACCGCTTTCTCAACGAGGAGCGTTGCCTCCCGGCCTCCGTGCTCGCCCTGCGCAGCTTCGTCGATCGCGTGCGTGTGGACGATCGCGGCAACGCGGTCTTCCCGCACTTCAACGGCTCTGGACTGTGCGGATATGAGGCCCGGAACCACAACTTTGTGTCTTTCAGCAAGGGCGGCACCAAGGGGCTCTGGTACAGCTCGACCGGGGAGGATGATGCCGCCCTGGTGATCGCCGAGTCGGCGATCGACGCCCTCTCATATGGCGTTATCCGGGGCACACAGCGCACGCGTTTCGTCAGTTTTTCCGGAGGGCTCAACAACGACCAGCCCGCCCTGCTCCGCCAGGCGATGGAACGAATGCCCGAGGGCTCGCGGGTCGTGGCGGCCGTCGACAATGACGAGGCCGGCGACGGGTATCTCGATCGGCTCGGGTCGATCTTCGACGGGCTGGGGCGCGAGGACCTTGCGTACGCGGCGGACAGGCCGCAGGTGCGGGGCACGGACTGGAACGACGAGGTGAGACAAGGGCCAAGAGCCCCGTCTCTCGCTCCGTTATGAGGCACCTCCCCCGCTTCCACGTCTACCTGCTCTGGTCGCCCGACGACGGCACGACCTACACCGGCATGACCGGAGATCTCCGGCGACGCCTCCGCGAGCACAACGCGCCAAAGAACACCGGGTACACGCGGGGACGACGCTGGCGGCTGCTCGCTGTGCGGTGCTTCCTGGACCGGCACTCGGCGCTGCTCGTCGAGCGGCAGCTCAAAAAATCCATGTATGACAAGCGGAATTGGATCCGGCGCACAGGGCGGATTCACGTGCTACTCGACCGCTACAACCCTCAAAATCGCCAGCCGTATTAGTCACGCCATCGAGTTCTATAAGTGAGTTTTCTGCTCGCCGGAGAAATCAGCAAACATCCGGCGCATCCCGACGTACCTGTGAACAGGAGGTACTTGAAATGAAACAGGGAACACGCGCACGAAGTGCAATTACAGGGAAGTTTGTCACCAAGGCCAAAGCTAAGCGGTCCCCTCGCACCACTGTTGTTGAGAAAGTCCGGCCGCAAAAACGCAAGGGCTGTTGATTCGTGGTCTGAGACCAGTCTCATCGACGAGTCTGAGACCAGAGTCCCAGTCAGTCCGAACCCGTGATCTCGCTGATCGCACGCTTGACGCTCTCGGCCAGGGCGATGGGGAAGTTCTTGTGCGTCGTTGAGCCGTACTTGCCGCGACGCCGGACATTCGACAGATCGAGCTGGTCCCTCGCCTCGTACGTGGCCAGGATCATCGCTTCGATGATCTCTGACTTGCGCAGCGTCTTCTCCGGGCCAAATTCTCGCATGCGCTGCCAGATGGCATCCAGCTTGCGCTGGCCGTCGACGCTGACATTCAGCCGTGTACGCGGCACTTCTGCGCTGGCAGGAGCCGCTCTGGCGGCCTTGGGTGCCTTTGTGGTGCCCGAAGGCTCAGAAGCTACCTTCGCCTGTGTAGGGGGCTTCTCGGCCCTCTTTGTGCTGCTTTGTGGCTTTCGGGCCGTCGAGGTGGGTTCCGATACCGACTCTGGCGTGGCTATCTCGCTCTCACGCGCAACAGCCACGCCAGATCCGGCGGGCCGTGCGTCGATCTCGTCGAGGTAGTCCCCCATGCGGATCGGTTTGTCGGCCGGCCTCTCGATATCGAGGGTAAACCCCTCGGGCAGTCCTGCTCTGCGCTTGGCCATCGCTCAGATCACCCCCCCACCGCTGCGCCGGTCTGGGCCACCGGTTTGACCTCGATTTCGGCCGCAGTCACCTTCTGTCCGGCACTCAGCGGCATGGGATTCCCGAGCCGTTCGAGGATCTCGTCGGCCAGCGCCATGTACTGCTCGGACGCGGGCTCTCCAGGTGCGTGCTCGTGGATGGACTTTCCGTAGAGCGTCGCTTCGCGATGGCGGACGCTGTCCGAGATCCCGCAGCGGAAAAGCTCGTCCTCGGTGAAGATCGAGAGCAGGTGCTCGCGGATCTCCATATCCAGGTTGCTGCGTTTGAGCTTGGTCAGCAGCAGCCCGATCATCGCCAGATCTGGCTGGTATCGGTCGCGGATCTGTGTCACGGCCTTCAGCAGCAGCTTCAGCCCCTTGAGGTCGAACCCAGACGGGATCATCGGGATCATGTACCGATCGGCGGCGATCATCGCCGTCGTCATCACGAGCTGGAGCTCGGGACCCGTGTCGATGAGGACGAAATCCCGCTTGTCGCGGAGCGACTCGAGCGAGGTGCGCAGCCGCTTGCGCTGCTCGTCCTTCAGGTTGTCGGCGTCGATCTGGGTGATCTCCTGGGTCGCCAGACGCTCATTGATCTGGGCATCGAAGCGGAACTGGATGGTGGAGATGCCCCGGCTGCCGGGCACGAGATGCATCCGCCCCCCGAAGCGGTCCGGGAAGTGCATCTCGATCTGGTCGGCCGGCTTTTTGGCGAGATACGCGTCCACCACCGTAAACTGGTCGTCCTTGAGGTCCTCGGCTTCGATCCCGAAGGCCTGTGTTGCGTTGGTTTGGGGGTCGCAGTCCACCACCGTGGTCTCGTAGCCCTTGCTGGCCAGGGCCGCCGCGAGACTGACGACCGTGGTCGTTTTCCCGCATCCGCCCTTCTGATTGGCCGTGACGATCGTTGTACCCATGCTTGCGACTCCTTCCACAAGATTTTTATCGGCTGTATTCACTATGAGACTACAGTCCCAGAATGTCAACCCCCTGTCTGGGTCTATAGTCTCATTCCCGTTTTAGATTGGGACTACAGTCCCAGACTCACGTGCCTTTTGTCGCGCCGAACCCCATGCATATTCAGGCTTTGCGCCTCTGGGACTACTGTCCCAGACACACACTACTGTGAGACCACACTAAAACGACTCTGGGACACTGGTCTCACACTCATGCCTATGTCTCGCTCGGATTTCGCTGCAAGTGTCTGTCAGCGCGCGCGTTACGAGCTTGACGCGGTGCTCCGACTCACGAGATATTGACGATGACAGCAACTGTCACCCCACATTTCCGCACCGCCCGGCGCGGAGGGGTTCATCGATCAGCAGAAGGAGGCGTGGACACAGCGTAATCCCCAATCCAAAGAAAAACCGCCCTAAGCCATCAAGGCTGGGCGGTCTTCAATGTCGCAGCGTCCCGGCGGAGCCGTGACGAGCAAACTTGGACTTCGCACCCCCAAGCTAGCTCAGATCGTGCCCCCCGTCAAGGAGCTCCGCTTCGGCACGGGGTATCGCTGTGTCTACGCACGGAAAGGAGCCGTGCATGGAGGCACGATTGTCACGCCCGGAGGGCAGCGGGGGAACGCAACGAGACCGGTCCGCATCGCGACGCGGCGAGCGGACCCACCGCATCGAGGGCAGCTACAGGGCCATCACGACGCACCAGCTCGCTCTGGCGTGGTGGTTGCACGGTTCGGGCCATCTGACCCGAAGGCAGCTCCGCGTCTACTTCGCCCTCCACGAGATGGCGGAGAAGCGTCGCTACGGCCCGGCGGACTGCACGCCGCTCTACACCGTCGATGAGGTGATAAGGCTCGTCGGGGGCAGGGGGGGCGGACCAAAGGCCCGCTCCGAGATCACCGGCGACCTCAATCGACTCCGCTCGCTCGCCCTGGCCGATCTCTCGGCTCACAGCATCGCATTCGCCCGGTCCGCCGACCAGATCAGGATTGACGATCTGAGCGGCTTCTGGACGATGTTTGAGCACATCCCCAACCGCCGTCGCACCGTGCCGGTGCCGAGGCGGATGCTCCGCGCGCTGGCGGCGGGGTTCTCGAAGGCGACTACCGCCCTCGTGATCGCCATGCTCATCCGCGGGCTCTTCTGGCACAAGGAGACCGGCGACTACCGCACCGACGGGCGCTACAAGCTTTCCTGGGTCGCCGAGGTCTTCGGCATCAGCCGCCGCGCCGTCACCGATGCACGCAGCACGCTGATCGACCTGGGCTGGCTCGAGCCCCTCGAAGTCAGCCAGATCATGATGAACCGCTACGGGCTGCACGACCGGATCGTCACCGACTGGAAGCACCCCGACTCGACGGCAGCGGTGGGGGGGCAGGCCGAGACCAGGCCCGTCCCGTCCGCCGGATCTGCCAGCCCAAACGCTGAATTTTCCGCCG